TCAGTTGGAAGAATGCAGTAACGGAGGAAAATGAGTGTTATCATAGTCTACAACGGAGGAGAAGGGAGAGAGAGAGAGAGAGAGAGAGAGAGAGAGAGAGAGAGAGAGAGAGACTTTGGAAAGATTTAGAAGAATGTAATCAAAAAAAGGAATTTCCCGTAGGTTGTGGCTAGGAAATTCAATAAAGTCTGATACAAACATGAAAGGAATGATGAAAACTTCCCGAGAGCTTGTGCTAATGAATTTAAGTGGATGATTGATAATCTTGATTTAATTGATTTACCACTTATGGGAGGTAGATAGACCTGGACAGATTAGAGACTGAATACAACATGCTCATGAATACTTGTTTCTTGCCAATTTCAAGTTTCAGGTACTTGCCAAAAACTTTTGCAACGGGCCATGTCCAACCATTTTCCTATCTGCCTTGTTGCCGATGGGATCAAATAGGACTCTTGTCCTTCTAGACTTATGGATAAATTGTTTAAAAATAATGATTTCTGTGCCAAGATAGAAGAACGGTGGAGAAGGTTTATGGCGAGTTGGAAAAGCTAGTTATAAAATTGCTCAAAAACTGAAGGGCATTGAAATCAAAAATTAAAAAGTGGTGTAAAGAGGAGCAGAGGAAAGTGATGCGCACATAACTTTTGTTTAAGGGTATTGAGGCACTTGATGAATTGAAGGGTGAAGATGTATTGTCTATGGAGGATCTGGCTCATATGGACTTATTGAAATTTGAATTAGCAAACTGTTTACATAAGCCTCAACAAAAATCAAGAACTAGGTAAATCAGAGAGGGAAATAGACAAAGTTCTTCCATTGCATGACTAATCATTACAGGAGAACCAATTATGTAGAAGAGAAGATGATTGATGACAGGTTGGTGAAGGGTAATGAAAGTTCAAGACAAGGAGCTAGAGGCTTTTGCTTAGCTTGCACCGAGAGGAGTCCAATTTGAGGCCTAAACTGAACGGTATCAATTTTAGTTCCTTGGATGAGAACTGTGTTTCACTCAAGAGATAGTTCACTAAAGAAGAAATTTTAGAAGGGCTTATGCATTATAGTTAGGAAGAAAGCTCAAAGTCCCAATAGATTTAATGAGTTTTTTGCAGAAATTTTGGCATGTTATAAAAGAGGAGATTCGAGAGCTATTCAAAGAACTACATAGGACAGGGTCATTCATGAAATCCTTAAATTCCTCATTTTTGGTACTGATATATAAGGTGGAGGGGGAGGCAAATATTATGGAATTCCTTCCTATCAATTTTGTTGGGTACGTATATAAATTCATGATGAAAGTATTAGCTAAAACATTAGCAAAGGTGATGGATAAAGTAATTGGTGAATGTCATCATACTTTTATTGAATGAAGACAAATTATGGATGCAGTTCTAGTGGCTAATGAGATAGTTGATGATCTGTTTTTCTGGAAAAGAGAAGAAATCCTATTCAAGTTTGATATGGAGAAATCCTATGATTAATTGGAGATCCACTGAATATATACTGAAGAGGTCAGGCTTTGGAGATAAACAGTGTAAATGGATCAACTCCTTGCGCGATTCTGGTAAATCGGGGTTCATCTTCTTTTTTTAAGGCTTCCAGAGGCCTTAAACAAAGTGATCCACTATCTCCTCTACCATATATCATTGTCATGGAAGTTCTGAATAGATTGTTGCTAAAAGGCAAGGAATTGCATTTGTTTAGAGGACTAAAACTGGGAGAATGAGAGCAAATTGAAGAGGTAACCCAGTTGTGAATAGATTTGAGAGGAAACTTGCAAGTTGGAAGAGGAATTTCTTGTCCAAATGTGGACATCTAACTCTCTCATTAAAAGCATTTTGGTTTATTTTCCTGTTTACTACATGTCTCTTATGACTATCCCCTATGAGTATCACCAAGGGATTGGAAGCTATCCAGTATAAATTTCTTTAGGGCGACTCTGAAGAGCAAAGAAAATACCATTTGGTGACATGGGAAGAGATGAAAAGACCATTGCAGGGTAATTTGGGTTTGAGATCTATTGTAGACATAAACCAGGCACTCCAAGAAAAGTGGATTTAGCGGTTTATGATATAAAATGACATTCCATGGACAAGGTTGATAGAGGTGAAATTTGGTATCATAGATAGAGAATGGTAATTGAGAGAGGTGTCAAGACCGCATAAGAAATGGGTGCAAAAAAGAATAAGCATGTGAATATGAGATGCATTAGGTGGAATGTTTTTTTTTTGAGATAAAAGTAAGTAATAATATAAAAGAGACGCTAACGGAGTGTAACCCATGTACAAAAAAAAGTTTACAGACATGTGAGAATATCAACAATAGAACCAAGATCGTCAAAAGAATTAAGGTTGTAGTCAAGAACAATGGAGTCAAAATAGTGCAGCCACTTATCCTTGATAGAAGCAAGATTAGTTTCTTTACTTTCAAAAATCCTATAGTTTCTTTCCTTCCAAATAATCCAGAGAATTGTCTATACCATCTATTGTTCAATTTGATGTCATCCCAAGCAAGCAGCTCACTATTAACAAAACCATAAATAACCCAGGGAATGCCAAACAGCTTGTAAGGACACCAAAGGAGAAGATGGTTACACGATTCAGCATTCTGTTTGCACATAACACACCAGTTAGCCAGAACAATTCCTCTTTTCATGAGGTTATCAAGTGTAAGAATAGCACCCATAGCAGCTTCCCAAGCAAAAACTGAAATCTTTGGTGGCACGAGAGAGGTCCAAATAAGTTTATGGGGGACAACAGATGTAGAAGCATTGCTGTCCATCAAAGTCCTGTATAGAGACTTAATTGAAAAGGAGCCTTTCTTGTATAAATTCCAGCTTAATTTATCAGACCCAGTGCCAATTTTTACAGTAGACAGTAGACGAAGTAGATTTTCATATTCCACCACTTCCCAATCTTTCAAGTTTCTGATAACAGCCACATCCCAAGTCAGAGAAGTAGTAACCCCATAAGCATTTTCACTGAGCATAGCTTTCTCTCTACCAATGGAAAAAATTTGGGGAAATTGGTTTTGAAAACTCGTTTGACCACATCAAGTGTCCTGCCAGAAACGGATCTTATCCCTTTCCCAATCACCCCATTTGGAGTTGTTAAGAACAAGCTTGCTAGAATTCCAAATGCTCTTCCAAAGGCTAAGGCCAAACGGACTCTTGTCCACAATGGCAAGATTATGCACATCACCATCAAACCATTTACTTACAATAACTCTCTTCCATAGACTGTCGTCGTCATTCCAAAACCTCCAAGTCCCCTTTCCATGTAAAGCTTTGTTGAGGCTAATAATGGATTTAAACCCAAGACCACCAACTCTTGACAATTTTTTCAATTGATCCCAGTTAACCAAGTGAAACTTTCTATTCGAATCATCATCACCCCAGAAGAAGTGACATTGGATGGATTCAAGACGTTTAGCCACTGTCTTGGGAATAGTGAGCACCGAAAGATAGTAGATAGCGAGATTAGACAATGTTCTTTTGATTAGACTCATTCTACCACCTTTAGATAAGTATTTACTTTTCCAACAAGCCAACCTGCTTTGAAATGTGTCAATGACCAGCTCCCAACAAATGTTGTCCTTATGTTTGGCACCAAGAGGGAAATCCAAATATTTTATGGGGAGACAGGCAAATTTGCAGCCATTTTCCCCCAGCATAATCAATTCAGATTTATCCATATTAATTTTGAGTCCAGATACAGTCTGGAAAAATAGTAAGATGCACTAAGATGCAAAATATTACTGACATTATCTTGACAAAAGAATAGAGTGTCGTCTGCAAAGAACAAAAGAGAAAATTCCATTTGATGACTGTTTTTGCCCACAAGGACACCCTTTAGCAGCATTAAGGAATGAGCTTGCAAAATAATTTTGTTTAGTGCTTCCATAACAATGATAAATAATAAAGGAGAGAGGGGATCACCTTAGGATGAGAATAACCTTTTGGAAGCACTATTAACTTGGTGAGAGGGTGCTCAAAGATAGGTTTTCCCAAATTTTTGCGAATGCATGACATAAGGATATTTTTGTTTATGAGTCATTTAAAGGTAATAAAGGGGTAAGGGAGTAGTATGTGGAGGCAATAAGAACCCTCAACAACAGGGAAGTTGATGAATATGAAACTCTCCTGAGTTCACTTGCTTTTGTATCCTCGAATAGAAGTGATAACCAGCCGGTTTTGAGCCTCATCTCTACAGGGATTCTTATGGTCAGGTCTTTCTATAATTTTCCAACTAAGAATGACTCCATTAAGACCAAGTTTCCTTATTGGAAAACCTGGAAGATAAATGCCCCTCCATGAGTGGCCTTTTTTGTTTGAGAGATTAGGTGAGCTTGCATTTTCACTATTGAGAAGCTAATAAGGGACAAGATTATGATGAATAGTTGTTTTCTATGTAAGAGGGCGGAGGAGCTTTATAATCATATTTTGCTTGAGCGTCCAATCGCATACAATCTTCGAACCATGGCTTATGAGTTCCTGGGGGATTAATTGGGTGATGGTTAGTACAGTTAGGGATGAGATCGGCGCCTGGAAGGATTGGGGGAAAAGCATGTGGCCTTCATCCGCCTTGCTATTTGCTGGGTTGTGTGGAATGAAAGAAACAGATTGGTTTTTGAGGGGATGAAGGAGGATATAGATAGGATTAAAAATAGGTAGGCAAGTGCCATCTTAGCTGAAGCATGGAAACAGTAGCAAGTCGAATACATATTAAATGGTTATGTTTCTGTGCAACATAACACTATATGTACTATAGGCATGCAATTCCTTGTGAGGGTTAGGTCAATTTACAGAAATAAGACAATAAAAAACACAGCCTAAGATGGCACCATAATATTTTCAGAAGTAGGTGAAAATCGTTGAAAAAGGAAAATTGAGGTAACAGATAAATGTCATCAACAGTGTGAGCAGGATCAATATTGATGTGGCTGAATGCCTGGAAGGACCAGCTACAAGTACCAGTTTAGTGCATCTGATATGAACTGACCTGTAACTTAAGCTTAAGCTCACGAATCATTTGAAAGAGCCTCCTGTAACCACTCCAGTTATACTCCAAGGGAGCATGTGCCTCTACAATTCCCCACCAACAGTCGACCATAACCCCATCTACATTGACTGACTTCAACGTTCTTAATTGCTTTAGCAAACCATCTGGATCAACCAATTCACACTTCATATTGATGACACCTAACTGCAAATCATCATGGTAGTTATTACAGAAAAAAGCACAATAAAGGAATCCCATGTATGTGACTATGTAAGCCTAAAAAAAAGAATCAACTAAGCATAAATTCTTCTCTTCAGTCAAAATTCTAAAAGAGAAAAACAGGATAAGTGTTATGCTTTTTATTTCAGAAAAAAAAAAAAAAGAGCAAGTGTGATGCTTCCTCACTAGGTCCCTGGTAAAAAGGATTTCAGAAAAACTAGGTCCCCGGTAAAAAAGAACCTTTGGTAGAATAAACTGTACTTGGTTCAGATTATAGGAACTTACCGGTAACATTACATAAACAGGAACATATGGAGTGCCAGCAAAATTGCGCTCAGATAATTTTGAAGGTATATCAACAACCTATAGAAGTAAAAGAAATACATTGATCCATAGATAAAAACTGAACCAAGAGACTACCAAATAGGAAGAACCAAATCTGATTAAATTTTATATAAAATACAGAGAACCGATACATGCTCTGTTTGGGATGTTGCAAACAACACAAGCAAAGACTACACAAACACATGAGATTCCGCATATAATCCTACTATGGAAGGCTACTGAATGGCACTATATTTATTCAATATTGTGTACAAATACAAAAAAGCAGGTTATGGCATGAATATGAACTATCTATCCGATGATTTAATTCACCACTAAATTAACATGATAAGTTGTTTAACTTAGTTTTAATTCAATAGCATGAATTCTATTGAATGCTACTATACCCATTCAATACAGTGTACAAATACAAAAAAAATGATATGGAAGGATGATGATAAACTATAGGTCTAATAATTTAGTTCGCCACTACATTGAACAATATTACCTGCTTGTCATTGAGAGTATCCACCGAATTTCCGCTAAGAGGATGACTCTCCGGTTGAACCCCTCCATCTCCAACCATGACTGAGGTCTGAGACCGAGCAACTGGGGATAAATCATAAGGTGAAGGAGTAGGGACAAAAACACCTTTCATGCGACATGAATTGTATTCCATGGAGCTTCGGTATCCAGAAGAGACTCCTCTAAGGACAGGTGGTGGAGTCTGTTGGGATGCCATATGCGAAGATGAAGAAGTCATCCCTGCGGAAGTGCCACCAACAGGCTTTGAGCTCTGAGAAGTTGAAGACAAAACGCTCCCAATTGTTAGAAGTACATTACAGTAAATTTCTCCTGCATCACATGATAAAACATAATACATACATACATATATATATAAAACATGCCTATAAATATACTAGCAAGAATGTTTGTGCTTGCTGAAGGAAAGATATTTGACGCACCAAATGCATATAAGCAACACAGAGCCCTTTGACTACCTAAAGATCCAAACCTTGTTCCTAGAAGTTCCTTTATGCAACCAAGTAACTCTCAAGCACGAAACTATAGTTTTCAACAATTGCATACAGACAACAGCCATGTTTTTTTTTTCTTGAAATAACAAACAACAGTCATGTTAATAAGAATGTCATCTAGACTGTTATGAAAACAAATGGAAGAGCAGACAGAATTTTGTGGATACATGTTCTTTGAACCAGTAAACACTTTTGAAAACATCATTTAGACAATTTAGACAGCCCCTTACTGGTGGAATCCCAAAGGACTGACCATATGGAAGCCTTTCTGCTTATAATGCAGCTAATTCTGTTTAACTATTTTATTGACTTATGAACTGAAAATATGCCACCATCATGCACTTAAGTAAACCTGTAAAATTGGTGGAAAATATTTTATGCCTAATTACAATATAGATATATTTTTTATGGGATCCGGTACATTAATACTAGTATGATTACCATCTTACTATTCTTTTTATCTCAAACAAAAAAATGATCACACCCTACTATAGAGATATATATGGGAGACCAATGTTCCAAGCCTACAAGAAAAGTACCTGTGACCTTGAAGGAAATGTGGTTCCATCTGGAAGTACAACCCAACCAGCTTCCCTGGCCAGAGCCGCAATGACATCATTGATATCAGCTCTCACCCTTAGATTATAATTCCCATGCCTCCTTAGGCCTGCCAAGATTCTTGCAGTAATAGCCCTCCGATGTCTTTCTCTTAGCTTTGTTCTCTCCTTTTCTTCAAGTGGTCTACATCTCCGGTTGCCTCCTCCACCACCCGGGGTGCTTACTTGCTCTTGAATTTGCTGATGATGTTGAAACTGATTACTACTGCCACTTGGCGGCATTCCTCCATCAACCCCCACCATCACTTGTGTGGCAATATGTTTCTCTCTGTTCTCTTCATCTTCATCATCTTCTTCCTTTACATCCATCTCCACGTCTTCATCATCATCTTCTTCACCAGTGCCAATCAATTTCTGCATATCTGTTGCCATAACCTCTCTCACTAAAGCTTGACTTTTAATTGTAACAACTATACTGTTACAACTTCTCTAAGGCAAATGCCATCATTACTTCTCTAACTTTTAGTAATTAATGCAATGGCTTACATCTTCCAAAAGATGTGGCAACATCAACTGTTATTTCCTTTCTGGGCTACTTTAGATTTTCCTGACAACATTGGAAATTCAATATGTCAAATTAACCATACAAGTTTTGCCAACTAGAAAATTAATAAAAGAAATCTCCCTCCGTCGGGGCAGAAAATATACATTTGACAAAACTACAATAAACTGTCCCCGAGACAATAATTTGGTTTCGGAAAATTAAATTCTTCTTTCCTTCTGTGTCTTCTCCTTCTGAAGTTAAAGACAACAAAACAAAAAGGCGCCATATGTTGTCTTCCTGCGGTTTTCCAGCAATAAATGGGGGAAAAGGCTCAATATAAGTTAATGATACAGCTATATAGCTATTGGCAAGAACAAAAACACAACAGTAAAGAGAAGAACGATTCACAATGATGAAAAAGCCTTTTAGAGTTTCGCCATTCCAAAGGATCCAGAAAAAATGGAAGGTTATCTAACCTACCAAACAGGGGGAAATATGTAATGGGAAAAAGAAAAATTACCTTGACAGATTACTCAGTAAACCGAGTCATACTTTCTTGCTTAATTCTCAAGCATCCACTCCCTTACTAAAATTCGCCACTCACAAGCCGATAATTCTCCATCACCACCAAAATTTAACCACTACCTCCTCAAATCGTCTCCTCATGTGTTCCCTTCTCCGTCAAAACTCAAAGCAATGATCCATCTTCCAACTCGCCGAAACCAAACTTTACCTCGAATTCGCACCGCGCAAATCTGAGTTCCCCCGGCGACCGGGCGAAAATCCAGCTCCGGTTGACGGAGTGCCGCTGGATGCCGGGAGAGCGCAGAACCTTAGAAGAGGAGGAGAAATAGATGGTTTTCCGGCGGGTACGGGTCGGGTCCGGCCGGCAAGAGGAGGAGGCGCGTGAGCGATTGAATGCGTGCGAAAGACTAGGGTTTCGCGCGTGTGTTGGCTGCCAAGCGTGTTGGCACGGATGTATGTGTGCGAGTTTAGTGATTGGCACGAATGAGGCGTGCGTATAAGCGAGAGAGACGTGAGGAGTGGGATAGACGGATCGTGTGAAGGAGACACGTGGAACGCGTGCTTGGACACGAGATTTTGGTGTCTTAAAAGAGAGAAATCTCGTGACCAAAGATTCCCCGTAACGTCCAAAAGACGGTTACTATGTTTTTTTTTTTTTTTTAATGAACAAAAGACGGTTATAATTTACAGTAAGATCGTTTATTGCTTTTATGGATTAGATTTTTTTAAGGTTTAATTTTTGTGAATAAATAATAATGCAATTTGGTTGTGTTTAAATTATTATAATTTTATTTAAATTATATATTATAATTCTGATTTTTCTTCTATTAAAAATTTAAAATACTAACCCAAATATTATGTATTATACTATGATTATATGTAAAAAAATTATCATGAGAATTAAAATTAAAAAATTAATAACAATTAAATGAAAACTGAAACCAGTCGCTATTCTTAATTGAAAAAAATTATTACAAATTTTCATTCAACATAAAATTTTATTAATTTTATATTTCATCCATCGATATATAAGTATATCGCATATTAGTAGTAATTAATTTTTTTTTAGTTCAAAATGTTAGATTGAGTAGTTGTTTGAATTCAAAGTACAAAAAAAAAAATGATGATTTTCATTCATCTTCCATAGCAGAAAACTCTTTTATAATGAACCTATTGTCATTCATCAATTGCTATTCTTGCAAAGAATGAAAGAAGATTACAGGTTATTGATTCTTCAACTATGGCTACCAGTTAGTTTAAATCATTTTATTCTTTCATGTAGATCAGGTATGCAGAGATCCTTGAGAGTTCGAAGCACGCTTTTATTACACAAGCAACTTTGTGCGTAAATCTTTGATATAAGTAACCAGCATTTTTGCCTTGTTGTATATAACTTCAAGCATAATTCTGCTCAATGGAATGTACAACTTCAAAACCCTTTTATCCTAAGCAGTAAGCTGGTCATCCACTATCTTTTGCTCGTCCTGCTTTTCATCAGGAATAATTTGTAGATCTGGGATTGCCTCTCCTGAACACGGAACAACTTGTAAGTTTATGATCCTCTGTATATGAATCACCTATATGCTTTCAGAGTGTATCTATTTAATGAATTCGTAAAACTACCACATGGTAAAGAACTCTTCCTCCTACAGCTAACAACATTTCACCAAAAACGACAGCTGAGTGACACCTCATAGGAATGGAAATAATAAACTACAACTACGGTGGATAGCTTGGGTAATAAGGTTTTTTACACTGTAAATAATTGTGTAATTTTAATCGGAAATGAACTAGCTTGCAATAATTTCATTTCTTGGTTTGTGTTCTTTTTTTTTTCTTGACCTCATGTTAGCTCGTGTTTTTTTCCCCAACAAACAGATAGATTAACTTGTTTTCGAAATACAAGACAGAGAGAAGACAATATGAGTAACTGAAACTCATATAACAGAAGGATATACTCAGTGTTCCAAGAAGAAAAAACTAAAGCATGAAAAACAAAAAAAAAAAGAAAATCATCCTGTACCGTGCATTCTCTTAACAAATCTTTCAAACTCTTTGAAGTTGTGGCTCTCCATCAAAACTGGGGAGAGTCTGAGATAGGTAAAAGCAGATAAATGTCGCCCATCTGGGTCATTGAGAGGTTTGGCATTTTCTAATATCTTGTTATAGCCTTCTCTATCATAGCAAGGAAGAGCATTCTCACTAGCAACCAATATATTAACATCCCATGCAGCATTCAGCACCTAGAAGTAGAGAGAGATAAACATAACTAGGTAAGAATAAGCACAAACTTTTATCTCAAAAAAAAAAAAAAAAAAAAAAAGAATCAGTGCAAACTCATGTAAGCTTGACATTTCAACCAAATTACTAACATATGATTGAATGCTGTATGATGGGACCCAAACCAAAATAGGCAAAGAATTTGGTTTACATAACTAAATCAATCTCATATTAGGAAAGAGAGAATGGTTCTTCTACAAGGGAATTCATCCATCAGGATTAACAAGTCCAATGACTAGTTAGGAAAGATAAACAGAAGGAAACTGGCACTTGCTAGCTTACCTGCCAAACCAATCCCTCAGGGTCTGCCAATGCCTCTGGAAAATCTTCATGTTGATCCAATGTGCGCAATTCAACACATGTAAAGTTCATAGCAACTTCATGCTTCTTCAACATTGCCGCTATTGCAGCATAGCCATCACGATTTGATGGGTTGTAGAAGCCAGCAGTCAACTCAGCAGCATGGCTAGCTGTTTTATACCACCAATGAATTCCAGAGAGCTGCTCTGCAATTAAGATTACCAATAATTCTTCCACAATAAATACAAAGAGATAATACTGTATTGTCATATTCATCGACTAACACCAAGCTCATTTCCTCATAACAGAACAAACACCCCAAGAATAAGATTCACCTTTGCAGCAATGTAAGAGCCTTCAAAAGCTAAATTTGCTAGACCAAGTACACGGTCACCATGATCAATCAAAACTTGAGAGTACCAGTTCAAAAAGAATCTTCCATAATAGCTATCATAATCACCTCCATCACGAAAAAACCCAGTCTCATGTGGTGAGGAATTATAAGAACCTGCATTGTCAGGTCCTCTAGCCCAAAACGAGTGTCCTCTAACTTCAGCTGCTTTGCTCAGACTCTTCATCAAGTATTTGTCATAACACTGCACTGAAACAGAATATATCACTCCATGCAAATATACCACATATTTCAACAAATTTAACTAACTAGATGTGATAGTTAACTAAGCTAAGCATTGGACCTGAAAAGGGCCATTATGCCACTGTTTGATCATATAATTTATCATTTATGGATTACAACTAACAACCTTGCTATGGGAGGAAGAAGGCCTAAAATCTCATTCACACTGTTGTACCTGGAATTCACCAATACCAGGATACCTCCAACCATGTTTTGCAGGATAAGAAGGGTATCGAAGTTCTCCACATGGACCTAGTCCAACTTCAATCTCGGAGATGATTCCACCATCAAAAAATTCATCGAATTCAACCCTAAAGCTTCTCATATAGTCAAAGTAAACCTGCAAGATTTTTTAGTAAAAACATACAATATCAGACAAAGACAATTATTGCTTATCATTGGAGCTCAGTAAATAACAACAGCTGCTTTTTTCCACAAGTTACAAATGTTTATAACATGATAGAGAAATGTAGATATTGGAATTAGAGATATAGCTGAATGAACTACAGTTTAATAAGAACTCAGATATCTTTAAGATTTCAAAGCACTAAGGAAAAGAAATATGCACAGCATAAAAGGAAAAAAACGAACCCCTTAACAAACACATAGGATAAAGTTCTTGTTTTAAGATGTAGGAAAACAACAACAGAAAAAGCCCCACAACATAAGTGGTAAGCTTAGTTTCTGCATATAAGGAAATGAAGATTTCTACTTCACCTCAATAATAAATGCAATATATTTTACAATCATATTGAAGTGCAGTACCTCAACAGCAGTCCGTCCTCTCAAAACCCGTTCTTTGTCAATTCCCCATGTGAGACATTCTGAATTGTGCCTCCCTTCTCTATCTGTGAAATATATATCAGGATTGCTTTGACCAATTTCTCTCACCCATTGAGGGAGAGGAATATGTATATCATCTCCAACATTGCCTCCACATTCATGAAATGACATAACAACCTGAAGGAAACATATTTTAAGGAAATTGATAATATTTTACAAGAGTGCTAAATAATAGTGAATTGGCATGTTTAGTAGAATATGGTGTCTCTTCAAGCAAGTAAAGATGTGTTGTATTACAGTAGCATACAACAAATGAATGACAATAATCACGCACCAGGGTGTCTCAAATTGCTTGGTTCCATTAATAAAACAATATTTAAGAATTAACATGTGGATAGTTGTGAAAAATGAAATGGTGAGTGATGATCACATCCATCTTTTGCGTCTTCACAAAAAGAACTAAACAGAACAGGACAGCCTAACATCTGGAAGAAGAAGAAATAACAATTGCAAGAACATAAAGACCGTCACTCTGTACTGCTTACCTGTATCTTAAGCCCTTGGTCACGCACAATCTGAAAGAGCCTTTTGTAGCCACTCCAGTCATATACCTGTGGTGTGTGTGCCTCTACTATCCCCCACCAGCAGTCAACCATAATACCATCAACGTTGATTTTCTTCAAAATTCTTAGCTGATGCAAAAGAACTTCTGGATCAACCAATTCACACTTCATGTCAATCACTCCCAGCTGTCATTTCCACAGTGTAGACATAAGATCAAGTTAGACAATATTGTAACAATGGGGGACTCAAGTCCTTAAAAAGAAAGAATAAAAAAGGAAAAACAACAGCAACAAAAATAAACAGATAAACTTTTTGCGGATTTCTGTGAATCCCTCAGCAATAATATTTTAGTCCAGTGGTTGGCTCCCAAAAGTGTTAATAGCAGCTCACAATAGAG